AGACCCTAGATATAAACTTAAGCCAAGTTTTAGATTTTCCTTTTAGTCTTACTCTGATGTGAGAGAGAAAACTCAAAGCATTTCTCTTTGGGATCAGGCTACCTGCAGGATGAATGTAGTTCTTTGTGGGTGCACAGCAGAGCCATTGAGGGGTGAGGGGTGGGAAGGTGACCTTACTCCACAGGTAATGAAGTGTTATTATCTCTTTTTTGTAGATGAGGAAACTGAGGCTCATATAAGTAAATATAGTCATAGTCATAGTCCCAGAACTGGTTGAATGCTGGATTCCAACTGCTACAGCCTTAATAAATGGTAGAATCAAGCCTAGAGTCCAGACATATTATTTATGTTAGAGAAGTCTTCCAATACCCCTTTCACTATACCATACTGGCTGCAGGACAATTCTTTTTTTCTAGAAAATATAGTTTTAGTTAGTCCTTTAATTTATGTTTTTATATAAGCCCCTTATTTATCAGCAGGCAGTCATACTAGAGTTATAACATGATTGTTTTCCAAAGTGAACCAATTTTGATTTCTCAGGATAACAGAATACCAACTTCTAACTACTGTTAACAAATGGTTAGATCAGCCTTGAATTTCTTCACCCCAGAGAAAATGACTCAACATTTTTCAGAATAAAAAGGTTTTGTGGTTTATTTTACTGCTTTTCCTTGTAACTTTGATACATTTATGGTATGTCAAAGCAATTTGCCACATCATGGAAGCACCAAACCTTGCAAGATCAGAAACAACTCTAAGTAATCATCTTTTTGATGGAAACCAAACTACCTTAAACAGATGAAAATTAATTCTTTTACACACACTACTCTGCATTGCCCCACTCTTGTAATGCCACCACTGTGGAAAGCACATCATATTAGAAGCAGCATGGGAAAATGAATAAATAGTTGACCAGGAATCTAGGAACACCTGAGTCCAAGTCCTGCTTTTCACATGTACAGGCTATGTGAGCCTTGGGAAATCATGTAACCTCATGGTGCTCTTAAGTAGCTTTCTCAGACAATAAGTTACAGAAGTACCAGAAAATGTTTTACTTTTCTATTGGTATGCCCAGTACTTAGCACAGTGTTTTGCACATAGTAAGCATTTAATAAATGCCTCGTTCATTTACCCATTCATTCAATATGCCTTCTCTCTAGACTAATTAAAATTATAGGTCTCATCCCTGTCCCTATGGAAAGCAAGCCATCACTTGTACTAGAAATCGCTGGACCAACCCAATGTAGTCTTCCACATTTTAAAAAACTTTGAGTGCAGGGCTGAACATGTTCTCAAAGAATCCCAGTACTTCAAAGTATAACCCAGGTACCTCTTGGACAAGACCCATTCTGATTACTCACCTGGTACCAGCATTTTTTTCCTCTTGAAACTGATTTTTTTATACCTACTACAGTGCCGAGAATAGAATGAATTCTTAATAAATACTTATTGATTGATTGATTTTGATTAACTGATTTCTTGACAGAGCTGTGTGTTTACTTAATTAATTACTTAATCCCACAAGTATAGTATAAACTCCTCAAAAGCAAAACCTGTTTTGTCTTTGTCTTTGTATTCCCAGAATTGAACATAGAATAGGCCCTTCATAAGAGTTGATTGAGTTGAGTTGAGTTGAATTGAATTGACTATCTTTCCAGCTCTTAGGCAGTTGACAAATTTATACTGTTTGGCAGCAGCTGTTAATTGTTCTGGGTTGCCAATGCTGGATTTTCCAGCAACTTAAAAGGAGAGTCTAAACGTGGACACTACCAGATGGTCAAACAGAAATCAGATTGATTATATACTTTGAAGCCAAATATGGAGAAACTGGACCCGGAACTGACTTTGGCTCAGATTATGTGTTTATTGCAAAATTCATACTTAAATTGAAGAAAGTAGGGGAAACCATCAAACCATACAGGTACGACCTAAATAACATCCCTTATTGATGTGAAGTGGAGATGAATAGATTTAATAGATTACATCTGCTAGACAGATGTCCCTGAAAAACTATAGACAGAGATTCGCAATATTGTACAGGAGACAGCAACAAAATACCTTCTGAAGAAAAAGGGCAAGAAAGTAAAATGGCTCTCTGATGAGCCACCACAGATAGCTAAGAAAAGAAGGAAAGGAAAAGGTAAAGGAAAGGAAAAGAAAAGTAAAGATATACTCAATTGAATGCAGAATTGCAGATAATAGCAGGGAAAGATAAGGTTTTCTTAAATGAGCAATGCAAAGAAATAAAACAATAGAATGAGAAAGACAAGAGATCTCTTCAAGAAAACAAAGATATTAAAGGGGAAATGGGCAAGACAAAAGATAAAAATGGTAGGGACTTAACTGAAGCAGAAGAGATTAAGAAGAGATGGCAAGAATGCACAAAATAATTATACAAAAAAAAATCTTAACATCACCAATAACCATGATGGTGTGGTTATTAATCTAGAGCCTAAAGAATGAAGTCAAGTGGGTCCCAAGAAACATTGCTAACACTAAGGCTGGTGGAGGTGACAGAATTACAGCTAAGCTATTTAAAATCCTAAAAGACGATGCTGATAAAGTGTTGCACTCAGTGTGCCAGCAAATGTTTGAAATTCAGCAGTGGCCAATGGATTGGAAAAGATCAGTTTGTGTCCTAATCCTAAAGAAGTACTATGCCAAGGAATGTTCAAATTACCAAACAGCTGCACTCATTTCACATAGCAGCAAGGTCATGCTTCAGATTCTGCAAGCTAGGCATCAACAATATGTGAACCAGTAATTTTACAATAGCAATGCATGGCTATGAGAGTTAGAGTGACTATAAGAGAAGGGGAGCACCGGAGAACTGATGCTTCAAATTGTGGTACTGGAAAAGACTTTTGAGAGTCTCTTGGACAGCAAGGAGATCAAACCGGTCAATACTCATAGAAATTAATCCAGGCTATCCACTGGAATGTCAAATACTGAAGCGGAAGCTTCAACACTTTGATCACATAATGAGAAAACGCTAATGTTAGGAAAGAATGAAGGTAAAAGGAAAAGGGGACAGCAGAAGATGAGATGAATAGATAGTCTGAGACTAGATCTGAACTCAGTTCTCCTTTATATTACCACACCACTGAGTGAGCTGTCTATGTATGGGTAAGTATCCTGTTAATAATAAGTGGCATGAATATAACAGTTCAAAGTTTGCAAATCACTTTCAAATGCTGTCTCACTGAGCCTCACAACAACCCTCTGAGGTACCAAAGACTATTAGCCCCATTTTACAGAGGAGGAAACTGAATCTCAGAGACATTAAGTGACTTACTAAATGATCATACAGCTATCATGTACTATTAAGGTCAATGGATACTAAAGATTTTGAAATTATATGAGACAACCTATATGTCTTGATTGAAATGAGGTAAAGAATATCCAGGAAAATAAAAGCGGGAAAGATTTTTTTTTAATCTAGTCTATCTTTGCCTGGTAGTTCTAGCATTGTGGTACTTCTCGGAAACCCCTACCCCAGGGCTGGGACGGATGGAGTGGGAAAGAGGGATGTTAAACTTGTTATTAATGTAATATGAATCAGACATATCTTAGTGCCTGAGCCCAGACAGGATAGAGCCCTAGCCTCACCGGGGTGGTATAAGAACAATCTCATATTATTGCTTGCCAAAAATAAACAGCAAAGACTGCCTTGACAGAGAGGATCTGAAAGAAAATATACAAGTCATTCAGATTTAGTTCAGTCATAATCAATCTTGCAGAGCTACTTTAAACAATCTATTCTATTTCTGTTGTGGTATTTTCCCTGTTCCCAAAATCTCTTTGACCTGAAATAAATGGACCAGAGTATTTTCTGATTTTAAAGTCCTTTTCTCAGAAAAAAAAGAATCAATCATTTTCATCATGTAGACTTATCAGGAAGTTCAAAGTGCTGCTAGTCACAAGGCCCTTCTTTGCTCCCCATGAAGCAGGCCCAGCTGGTATCACCCTTCATAGCTTCACCACTTCACAGTCTAGGTGGATTTCTGCCCTCCTGGAGGGATTCTAGGAAATTACATGTTCTATATTGAGTCATTCTACTTTCCTCTTGTTGGGGGGGGGCGATAATCACCCAAAGGGAAGTTCATTTAAAGATTCTAATAAAGGTATTGTGGGCAGCTAGGTGGCACAGTGAACAGAGTACTGTGAGTTCAAATCTGGCCTCAGATATTTACTAGCTGTATGATCCTGGTCTAGTCATTTAACCCTGTTTACCTCAGTTTCCTCATTTGTAAAATGAGCTAGAGAAGGAAATGGCTAACCACTTCAGTATCTTCGCCGAGAAAACTCTAAATGGGGTCATGAAGAGTCAGACACAACTGAAACAACTGAACAACAAAACAGCAAAGGTATTAAAAAGTATTTTGTGCCACCACCAGAGTGATATGAGAGCCAAAGCACACACCTTTATGCAATACTTCTTTTCTCTCATGCACTCTATCTCTAGCAATTTTTTAAAGGATATAACTACATATCTAAGAAGGATCACTTAAATTTAAATCTATGGGTTCCTTGGGTCCGTGAATTTTTAAAAATATGTTTATAACTGAATTGCAATATAATTGCTTCCCTTTGTCATTTTATGTTATGTACCTATTCTGAGGTGTCCCTAGACTTCACCAGACTGCTAAAGGGGGCCATGACAATAAGAAAGGGCCAACAGCCTTCTATTGAAAGTAAAGGTATATGACTGCCACCTACAACAATTCAGTGTTATTATCTACATGTTCTAGAAATCTGTTCTTATTTTTAAAAAAAAGGCAAGGGGAAATAGAGTATTATGTAAATATAGTTTTGACAAAATTAAATTCAGTAGTGCCCTCAGTGAAAAATACCAAGTAGGTCATGTTCATTCATAAATTGAACAAACATCTCCTTAGAGTACTTCATTTTACATTGCAAAACACTTCTGCCTGGCAATGCCTGCAACACCCATACAGTGAAATTTGTTAAAAAGCCAACACTGACAGAAAATCACTTACTATAATGTGCTGATAGGGATCTATGCAGGACATTTTGGTTTTGGTTACAGTCAAATCTTTTCTCACTTCGAAGTTCCTTCTCAGGACTTTAGCTTCTTGGAATCCTGCAAAACAAACAATCACCATTAGAAGAGAGGATCAGAAGATTACAGATTTAGAGCTGGTAGGGACATTAGAGACCATCTACTCCAACCTACACATTTGATAGTTGAGGAAACTGAGGTTCAAGGCCAAGTAACAATAACAACAATAATAATATCTAACATTTATATAGCGCTTACTATGTGCCAACCATTGTGCTAAGTGCTTTACGGTTATTAGCTTATTTGATCTTCCCAACCTTGGAAGATAGGTGCTATTATTATCCCCATTTTATAGATGAGGAAATTAAGGATGAAAGAGGTTAAAGGACTTACTCAGGTCACAAAGCTTCACAAATTATAAAGTGCTAGAATTTACATAGCTTGTGTAGTTTATGAAGTATTTTATGAATATTATCTCAAGATCTTTACAACAACCCTGTGAGGCAGGTGCTATAATTATCTCCGTTTTACAGATGAAGAAAGTGAGGCAAACAGCTGAAGAGACTTGCCCTGGGTCACACAGCTAATAAACGTCTGAAGTAGGATTTCACTTCAGGTCTTCCTGACTCCAAGTCCTGACTCTATCCATTGTGCCATCAAGTGTTGTAACAATAATAACAATAAGATGTGTGAATATATAAGAATAATAAATAATAAAAACAATATGTATATATATGAGAGACAGAGAAAGAGAACCTTCAGATTTGTAAAACATTTCACATACATTAATTAAATCTTTTGATTTTTATAAGAACCCTTTGGGATAGGTGTCCTAGATGTTAGGCCTAATCTACAGATAAGAAAACTGAAACTCAAAGAGGTTAAAGTTCACATAGCTAATTAGTGCCTGAGAGAGTATAGGGATCCAGGTGTTCCTGACTCTAAATCAGACACTAAGCTTTAGGCAATCTGGTGGAGCTTATGGACTTCTCAGGAAAAAAAAAAAAAGTTTTTGTTTTTGTTTTTAACAACTGGGAAGACTTCTGGAGATGCTGCTAGGTAGCTTAGTGGATAAAGCTACAGCCTCGGAGTCAGGAGGACCTGAGTTCAAATCTGGCCCCAGACACTTAACACTTTACTAGCTGTGTGACCTTGGGCAAGTCACTTAACCCCAATTGCCTCACCAAAAAAAAAAAAAAAGAATTCTAAATTTCATTTAATGATTACTGAAAATAAAAATACAATTTGTTTTCTCTTCGAGAAAATGTACAGACCCCCTGAAATCTATCTGTGGACCTCAGGTTAAGAACCCCTCCGCTATGGCATACATAAGCAGTCACATCATTTGAGAAGGATAAATGGCTTCTCAGAGTACACAGCCCTTGAACGATCCTTGAAGATTAAAAGAAGAGGAAGTAAAAAAAGAGTGCATCCTAGAAAGGCTGACAGACTATATAAAGGCACCCAGGTGGGAGATGAAATAGTGACCTGAGGTAAGAGTAAGTATGATAATTTAATTATAAGGCATAATGCATGAAAGAGAGTAACATGAAAGAAAAGGAAGCTGGAACCCAAATGTGAGAGGCTTTGAGAGCTAAGCTGAGAAGAATATATTTTGGTTTAGATACAAATAGGAAACCACTAAAGAATTTTGAGCAGGGGAGCAGCATGATCACATCTGTGCTTTAGGAAGATTATTTTGGCAATTGTGTGAAGAATATATTAGAAAAGAGACAGATTGAAATGGGGGGGCAAAAATCAAAGGGCTGAAAAATGGAAAAGAAATTAGCCCTTTTCTGTTTGGCCCAGCTGGAGGAACTAGGGAGTAACAGGTGAAAGTGGCAGAGAGATGGATTTAGGTTTGATGGAAGGGAAAAAATTCCTAATAATTGCCTACCAAAAAGCAAAATGGGCAATGCTAGAAGCCTTAAAACAAAGGCTGGTTGACCCAAGTACAATGATTCAGCGGTGTGCTGGTATATGTATAACAACTAGCTCTTTGGAAAATAAAATAACCAGAACACACTTAAATTTAACCTGCATTCTTAACATTTTCTCTGTCATTTTTTTGAGTCTAAACAATCAACAAATTAATAAATCAAACCCTGATTTCTAACATTTGCTGACTCCCAAGATGCAAATGTTCATGCCAAAAATTTCATTCAGCTCTCAGTGAGCCCATTAGTGCTGAACACCCCTGGATGTGGGTAACTTTCTTGTTTGGATATGGGTTACAGTAAAGGACCTCTGACAAGTTATTTCCAACATTGAAATTCTGTGCTGGTAACAACGCCAGAGCCAAGTCGCTTCTGTAAGAAGCTGTGGTCAATTTTACCCTAAAGGGAAGTTTTCCCTGAGATGATATCAGTGAATCTTGCCAACTACACTCACTAAACAGCTTTGATATCACAATACCCATGAGCCTACAATCAGTATCCAGTACTGGAAAAGAGCTCAGCATTCTATTCCTGTAAAGAGAGCTGTACGTAATAAAGATCTGCAGTTTCATCAGTCACCCTCTATTTCTGTTCTAATGTAGGTATGTAAATTCCCATTTAATTTGATGCTTTTAAAGTTCAGAATAAAAATAAAATTTAAAAAGAAGAAATCCATCCCTCCGTGAAGATATGTTAGATGGGGTGTTATTCTTTTGAACATCAGACAATGGTAACAGAATTAGCATGTAATGTTGCTGAAAACAGATTCGTGACAAGAAGAGGTACTGACATCCTGCATCATTCATTCACTCTTCACAAATGAAACATCTCTTTTTTTTCTTATATGGCATCCTTTTATGCACAACTAAAGACGGATGGATGATAGCCTAATGCTTCCCATTCTGAGGACCTATTCCACTTAACAAGGAATAGTATGAAGGGGCGATGAATAAACAGGAGTGTGTGGTATAAGCAACTCTTTCCTCTTCTCCATATGCCCTGCTTTCTATTCATCCTTATTGATTAAAACAGAGAAAGTGCCCACAACTGATAATTCCTTAGTAGAAATGCTAGAAACAGTAGCTAGAAATGCCAGCTTTAGCAGTAAGACAAGAAAAAGAAATTGAAGGAATAAAAATAGGCAATGATGAAACAAAATTATCACTCTTCGCAGATGATATGATGGTATACTTAGAGAACCCTAGACAATCAAGTAAAAAGCTAGTTGAACCAATCAACAACTTCACCAAAGTCATATATAACAGGATATAAAATAAACCCACATAAATCATCAGCATATCTATATATTATCAACAAAGTCCAGCAGCAGGAGATAGAAATTCTACTTAAAATAACTTCATACAATGTAAAATACTTGGGAGTCTACCTACCCAGATAAACTCAGAGATACAATTATAAACCATTTTTCACACAAAATAAAGACAGATCTAAACAAGTGGAGAAATAGTAATTGCTCATAGGTAGGCCTAGTCAATATAAGAAAAGTGACAATTCTATGTAAGTTAATGTATTTATGCAGTGCCATACCCATCAAACTACCAAATAATTATTTTATAGAGCTATAAAAAATAAAACACAATTTAGCTGGAAGAACAAAAGTTCAAGTATATCAAGATAATTGTTTTTTTAAAAAGTGGCCTAGGAAGGTGGCCTAACAGTTCCAGATTTCAAAGCAGTAAACATGAAAAGAATCTGGTACTGGCTAAGAAATAGAGTGGGCTGTAAGAAATGATGAGCAGGATGCTTTCAGAAAAACCTGTGAAGCATACAGGGTAACAACAGCGTTGTAAGGATGATCAACTGTGAAAGACTTAACTTCTCTGATCAAGATGATGATCCAAGACAATTCCAAAGGACTCATAGTGAAAAATGCCATCTACCTCCAGAGAGAGAACTGATGAACTCTGAATGCAGATTGAAGCATACTATTTTTAACTTTCTTTAAGTTTCTTTTATTTTTTGTCTCTGTTTTCTTTTACATCTTGGTGAATATGGAAATATATTTTGCATGACTTCACATATATAGTCAATATCAAATTCTTTGCCTTTTCAAGGAAGGAGGAGTGGCAAGAGGAAGGGAGAATTTGGAACTCATTTTTTAAATGATTGCTTATATTTAATTGGGAAATATTTAATGGTTTTATATCTATATCTATAGATATAGATATAGATGATATATATACTTTTTTTTTAATAGTATTTGAGGAACCAGAACAAGGCATATGCAGACCTCAGTATAGAACTACCCATCTTTGGTTCTGGTGCCGAGGGAAGGGATGAACTATAATTAGAAGTTGGGGGAACGAAGCTGTGAAATGGGAAGGCCACATAACCCTTACTGCCAATAACCCTAATAATGAAACTAGTTTCACAGAAACAGCTCACAGAAGTCAAGCCAGCACATATTCTAAATCGATATTTAGAACAATGTAGCACTGATTAGGTTGACGAATCCAAGTGCTAGATAGCTGGATGAAGCATCTTTGTGGCAGAGCTCTGTAACTTTGGAGATTCTGGATACCTGAGAGATTTTTCTGTAAGCCCCTAAATCCCGAGTGAGAAAAGGATGCTCATAGAAAATACAAGTAAGAATGACTGGAGAACCTAACCATCTATATGGAATTTCTCTTCCATTTGGACTTTGCACTGGCCAGCCTCCAAGACAATGACAAATGTCTTTGGCAAGCATTCATTTCCCTGTTTTATGTCTAAGTTGATATTAACAATCAGAGTTAAATATGAACAAAGTCATCTTTGTTGTTGGCTCTACTGAGGAATCTTGTATGATTCTAACAACTGCACCTTGTTGAATTTTAATAAAGAGAAAATCTAGATGAGTTAACACCTTTTCACAAACATAAGCATAAGGTTCGGTTTTTTTTTTTTTTACAAAATTAGTTAATCTAATAAATAAGATAATACCTCATTTCTTATCTGACTGCATTACTTTGGGACATCTCCAATTGACTTCTCCACCATGAGACAAGTACTTTCTCCTTCTTCTCCCCTTTTTAGCTTCCTTTTATGTGCTGTCTTCCTCCATTAGACTGTAAGCTCATTGAGGGCAGGGAGTATATTTTTTCATATTTATATCCTCAGTGTTTAGTAAAGTGCCTGGCACAT